AATGGGAAACTGCATTTTTTTCCTTATTTTGAATGTAAAATTTCTTATTCCATTTGCAAAGTATCTTACTTACCTGCTCAGTTCAAGAAAAAATAAACTTATTTTAAGAAAACCTGACTTACTTAGATTTCAGTTTTTTGCAGTGTACTCTTTGCTTGAAATGTAGATGTTTAAAGTGAATGCCCTATAAAGGGTTAAGACCGACGCAAAATGGATAAAGATATGCTTTGTGCAGAGAGGCTTACTATAGTCACGGGCAAACCTAGTGAAAGTAAGAACTACCTAGCCTGCAGTTTAGTGTCTTTGTTATGTCCCCTAGTGTTTTTTTTTAACAGTATGCTTACACATTCCTTTGGTTTTTCCTAGTGTTTTTATTCCATTGATGTTATTGAGGTTTACTTTTTCAGCATTTGTGCCTGTGTTCATGTCTGGGGCCCGTAAGAGGTCCTGATCAAGTAAAGCTGCTGTTATCTGATAGCTCTGTGACAGAGCCACAATGGCTTCCAGGCGTCTTGAACAGGGATTAAACTATTTCTCCATCTTGTAAAGCCTGCATCTCCCACAAGGAAAGACTTTCTGCTCTTCCCGCTCTTTACTAGCCATTACAGTCTCGTTCATTTTCCTGATGATGATTTAAACCCCGCTTCCCGACACCCAGTAATCCCTTTGTGACGAGGCCCTCCTGCTTCCCGCTGTGCAGACATCAAATATGTCATCCAGTATTTGATTCATAGCTTTTCACCAAATTCCTCGACCGATTTTGACATTATATCGACTCCAGGGTATTTAGGACAGCATTGTGTTGCACAGAATCCTGATGTAAAGTTCAAATTTCTTGACAGAGGTACATTTGTGTTATTATTTGATAGATCATTGCAAAATAATTTTACTATCCACAAAGTTTTTCACTTTGTTATGAAACATAAGGAGCCTTTAATGTATCTTGTGAGGAATTTATTATATAGATCAGTATGAAATGGTTTAAAATGATGCTGTGTAGATCTTTTCTGATAAGTGTGGCAGGCATTTGTATCCTATCCTCCTACAGTATATCAGTACTTTGTAAAACTGGTTTCACTACAGTTGCCTTTTGCTTAGCACAGCAGTAACTGTGCAAATTTGAAACTAAAACTCAGTTATTCTCAACATAAATACACATATATGTGGAGCCTTCATGCATATTTTAGTCCATCCTCAGAGACCACATGAACGCATATCCAAACACAGCAAAACTTCACAAAAACCTAGCTTGGTAATAGTCTTAAAACCTTATCATGTTTTAAACATCCCCACAACCTTCTGTTTTTCATTTTGTCTTCAATGTTTGTTCACTAATGCTCTCTAGCAAACCTGTGACTTCTCACAAACTAATGGTGCTCATATAGACAAGTAGACTGTTGAATTGCTGGGGAATTTCTGAAGGCAATGAGTTTGGCTAGGTTTATATCTGAGTATATGTGGCTTAATGGTGGAAAACAGCCTTCTGTTTTCATCTTTTTTTGTTGCTTTGAATAAAACAGCTTGTTTCACTTTGTAAGCTTGTTTATGTTTTAAAGACTTACAGGCCAGACTTAAAGCTACAGTGTGTAATAATTACAGGGATATACAGTCAGAAATTTAATATATTATACATAACTATGTTATTTATCATCATCTACGAGCTCAGCCTCTTAACCTTAATATTTGTGTTGCCTTAGAATTCGTTATTTATAATTACATAGGAGCGGGTCTCGCAGCCATGGAGGCAGACATCTTTGCGCTACGGCAGCGCAGAGCCAACAAACTAGCGATTGCGAGATCGCCCATTACAAAAACATGCTGCGTGATGATGCTGTTACTCTCCAGTATACTTATTCAGCAACGTCCCCGACGTTTCACAGGTAATGATTCAGTAATTTTCTGTAAAATAATTTTCTGGATATATACCTCGGTTACTTCTCTCCGGCTCCTTTGGAGATCTTCAAGCCTTTCCTCCTCTGCTCTAGTCAAAAACTCCCTTTTAACAGGAAGTGAAATAACCAATATTTATTACTTTATTATCTGAGATCAATTGAATCCCATCCAAATGAAGTGACTGACTAACCTCTTTTTCAAAGGCTCTGGTCCAAAGACTAAAACGTCTGTTTTGTCTGAGGACAGGAGCAGAAAGTTAAGAGTGATCCAGGTTTTTATGTCTTCAAGACATGCCTGTAGTCTATATAATGGATTCATTTTGATTTATAGACATAAATAGTTGTGTATCATCAGCATTACAGCGGAAATTTATCCCATGCTGTTTAATAATTCTACAGATTGGGAGCATATACAGGTGCTGGTCATAAAATTAGAATATCATGAAAAAGTAGATTGATTTCAGTAATTCCATTTAAAAAGTGAAACTTGTATATTATATTCATACATTACATACAAACTCATATATTTCAGATGTTTATTTTGTTTAATTTTGATGATTACAAATGACAACAAATGAAAATCTCAAATTCATCATATCAGAAAATTAGAATATTACTGAAGACCAATAAAAACAAAGGATTTATAGAAATGTTGGCCAACTGAAAAGTATGAACATGAAAAGTATGAGCATGTACAGCACTCAGTATTTAGTTGGGCCTCCTTTGGCCTGTATTACAGCAGCAATGCGGCGTGGCATGGAGTCGATCAGTCTGTGGCACTGCTCAGGTGTTATGATAGCCCAGGTTGCTCTAATAGTGGCTTTTAGCTCTTCTGAATTGTTGGGTCTGGTGTATTGCATCTTCTTCTTCACAATACCCCATAGATTTTCTATGGGGTTAAGGTCAGGAGAGTTTGCTGGCCAATTAAGAACAGGGATACCATGGTCCTTCAACCAGGTACTGGTAGCTTTGGCACTGTGTGCAGGTGCCAAGTCCTGTTGGAAAATGAAATCTGCATCTCCAAAAAGTTGGTCAGCTGCAGGAAGCATGAAGTGCTCTAAAACTTCCTGGTATGTGGCTGCGTTGACCCTGGACCTCAGAAAACACAATGGACCAACACCAGCAGATGACATGGCACCCCAAACCATCACTGACTGTGGAAACTTTACACTGGACTTCAAGCAACGTGGATGAAGTGCCTCTCTTCTTTTCCTCCAGACTCTGGGACCTTGATTTCCAAAGGAAATGCAAAATTTACTTTCATCAGAGAACATGACTTTGGACCACTCACCAGCAGTCCAGTCCTGTTTCTCTTTAGCCCAGGCAAGACGCTTCTGACGCTGTCTGTGGTTCAAGAGTGGCTTGACACAAGGAATGCGACAGCAGAAACCCATGTCTTTCATACGTCTGTGTGTGGTGGTTCTTGAAGCACTCACTCCAGCTGCAGTCCACTCTTTGTGAATCTCCCCCACATTTTTGAATGGGTTTTGTTTCACAATCCTCTCCAGGGTGCGGTTATCTCTCTTGCTTGTACACTTTTTTCGACCACATCTTTTCCTTCCCTTCGCCTCTCTATTAATGTGCTTGGACACTGAGCTCTGTGAACAGCCAGCCTCTTTAGCGATGACCTTTTGTGTCTTGCCCTCCTTGTGCAAGGTGTCGATGGTCGTCTTTTGGACAACTGTCAAGTCAGCAGTCTTCCCCATGATTGTGTAGCCTATAGAACTAGACTGAAAGACCATTTAAAGGCTTTTGCAGGTGGTTTGAGTTAATTAGCTGATTAGAGTGTGGCACCAGGGGCCATCAATTTTGAACCTTTTCACAATATTCTAATTTTCTGATATGATGAATTTGAGATTTTCATTTGTTGTCATTTGTAATCATCAAAATTAAACAAAATAAACATCTGAAATATATGAGTTTGTATGTAATGTATGAATATAATATACAAGTTTCACTTTTTAAATGGAATTACTGAAATCAATCTACTTTTTCATGATATTCTAATTTTATGACCAGCACCTGTATATAGTAAAGAGAATTGGTCCTAGCACTGATCCCTGGATTAGGTAACCCTGGTTTCTGAGGAGGATTTATTATTATCGTGAAAAAATTGAAATCGGTCTGATAAATAAGATTTAAACCAGCCAATTGCTGTGTTTTTGATTCCTACAAATCTTGGACTATTTGGTCCATTATCTGAGGCCATGAGAATATCATTAGTGACTTTCACCAGAGCTGTTTCAGTGCTATGATGAGCTCTAAAACCAGATTGAAACTCAGAGGATCCTCTTACACATGAAGCTTAACATGGCCTCTTTCTTCCCCAGAGTGCTTGTCAACATTTAGGGGGCAATAACTGAGACCATCCCATGTCTAATTGAAGCAGTGTGGTATGAGAGTTTAAGTAATGACCACAGCCCTGAGGATTGTGGGATATCCTCTCTGCAATATTGATTCCATTTATGTTGGACAGGTTGAGAACAGAGTCAGGCATATCACTGCCTACCTTCATACAGACTCTTTGTACTGCTGCCTTCAGGAGAGCTGTACAACAAAACACAGACTAACAGCTTTAAAGACATCTTCTTCCCTAGAGCTGTCTAGGCCATCACTTCTCTTTAGACTCTGTTTTGCACTATTTGCCACACTTAATTACTCCAATTCCAACCTCACTGATACATTTTTGATGCCACTGTTAATGTCCTCGTCAAAGCTGTGATGCCCCAAACTAAACTCTGTTATGCTCCTGTGTTTGCATAATGACCGTGGACTATTTTGCCTCCAAGTGGCTTAGCAAAACCATAATGATAATAATGGTGATAATTGAAAAACAAGTTTGAAAATGTGAAAGTGTTTTGCAGCTGTACAATTTTGTGGAGAAAGCTTGGACTACTGGGGTGCAAAATAACTTTTAAAGATTTTAAACTCTAATTTAAGAAGCAAAACCAGAAAGAACTGGAGGCCTGTTAAGAATAATAGCCCCGTTCTGAGCTATTTAGTCTAAATTAGCTTCAGTGAAGTCATTATGAATATCATAAACAAAAAGCATCAGTCATGAACATGCAGATGATGTATTGTTTGTAAAATATTATTGTGTTTTTGCAGACAAATTAAGGACCAGTCGAAGAAGGTGGCCAACATGAAACACAAGGAGCAAGTGGAAAAGAACAGAAATGCCCAGCTGATGGAGGAGGCCAAGAAGAGGGAGGACAATCTCAACGAAAGTTCTCAGCAGATAAAGGTAAAGGACGAAAGCCTGTAGAAAGCTGGAGAAAAGTTTCTGTCTATGTCCTCTGAGTAACTTCTGCTACAACAACACCATGTTGTCATAACGTGATCCAGAGCAGCCTGAGGCAATGTCAAACACACTCACTCCCACATGCTGCAGCTCTCAGCTGAGAAGATGTGAGAGGAGTAGGCCAACGTGGATAATTGGCAGGGGGAGCCCATGGAAGATGGAGAAGAGGGGAGTGATTAAAGGAGAAGGAAAAAATTAATGCTTTTGGGTTTTAAAAAGCTTCTCTGTGGTTGAGGAGCACTCCTAATTGTTTGCTGGGTGCATCAAGTCACCCGAGATAAGACTCCCATGTGGTGTGATGATTCTGTGTGGTTTTCGCCATATAGCTGCAGATAATAGGTTCTCTTTTGCTTCTTTTTCATTTAACTTCACCCTTTCACCTTAAATTTCTTCCTGGCCTCCCCTGAAATCCTTCAGCCTGTTTTTTTCTTCCTCCTCATCCTCGTTCTTCTCTTCCAGTAATTGCTAACCTCAATGGCTCGCTGATTATAGACAGATGAAAACTGTCATTCTGTGTGTGTGTGTGTGTGTTTTGTGTGAACAAGCTTATGCACCCTTTAGCTATGGTTGATTTGGTTTAAGTAGTTAGGAAGCTGTCATTTGCAGTGTGTGTATGCGGCTGGAGGATGAGTCGATGTGAGTCACTGAGACACATGAGACCGCAGCGGTTACAACCAGAACTTGTGTGTGTGTGTGTCGGTTCCGGGCCAGCATGCATAACCTAAACAACCCTGCAGACGCTAACAGGACAGGACTGTAAATTTAATTCGATACAAAAAGTGCCGGCTTTGTTCCAAATGAATTCCACTGTGCTCTGCATAGTTAGACACCAAGTAATGTTGTCTCATCGGGGGTTCGGATTCTCAGCACATGTGTTGGAGATGTTCTGGAGATTTGCTCACGGCCACTGTAATGCCTCATCGTCCCGCTTCCTTCCTGTCCCCATCAGTTATTCATTCAGACCTAATTTACCCTGCAAAGAAGAAGAAAAATTGACCTTTTTTAATTGGGAGTTTGTGGGAACGCCATGCAGTGACTATCCTCTATGTGTGACTAGAATCCTCCAAGGCTAATGAGAGATCAGTATGGATAGTCTATGAGCGTTTTGATTATTTTAGTTCTAGAGAGAAAAAAAATGACTAAAGATGAATTTACCTTTGCCTGTTTTAGCTAAGCTTTTTGTTCACTTGTTACCAGAATGATCCATCAGGTGCCTGTCTTTGTGGGTCACCAATCCATCACATGGCAACTAGGGGTGTAAATAATAATCGTTTTGTATCGATTATCCATTTGCTCCTGGGCGTAATTCTCCCTCCCGTGCTGCGGTGCCGCTAAACCTATTTTGCCCTCCTACCGCGCTTCCTGGTTATACTCTTACAGCAGTGTGTTGCAGTAAGCTTGACACAGACATTTTTAAATTATGCTCAGTATTGAAGCGTGGTCTGAGCTACACACTGTGGGTCTAGATACGGCCGAGGCGGTGAGGAAATGGGGGCGAGTTTAGTCCGACGACGGAGGGACATGAGAGCCAAAAAGAGCGGAGATCCAGGTGGAAAAAGGGTCCCAGCGTTCTCGCGCACCTCGCTCTTCTAGCGGGTCAAACTTCACGAGTTGTTTTCCGCAATTTCGGTCATAAAAACAAAACAAGCCGGCCTCCTGTCTGCTGCACTGTTTGTGGTCAGCTACAATCTGGGAGAGGTGCAGCGGAGCGTCTCTCAAGGGGGCGGTGACGTCGACACACTGGAGCCTTCTTCTTCTTCTTTTTTTTTATGGCGGTTGGCAAACAACTTATAGGTGCATTACCGCCACCTTCCAGAATGGAGTATGGACCAGACAAACTATTATATTCTCCCTAAAATACCCGTTCTTCTTAGAAAATTAAAAATACTCCCAAAAACTACATCCCCAGATGACCTTTTAAACAATTCCCTTATATCTAGTTTATTTTTATTCCTGTCTAACTCTCTAGACAACATCTCTCTTTCCTGAGTATATTTATTACATTCTAAAAAAATATGTTGGACAGTTTCTTTGGAGCCGAGGTATTGCATTGAACTCATTACACTGATATTGTGCAGTATTCTTGCAGTATTTTTTGATGCAACTTTTCCACTTCTGTTATTTGCTGTTGTTTCTAAAGAAAATGCATAATGATATTACAGCTTTCATTGATTTATTTCAAACTTGAAACTTTGTTTAGCATGTAAGGTGTAAAAAATAATAAAGGAAAAATGTAACCGATTAATCGATTAATCGAATCGAAATCGTGGTGTATTCTTGAGAATCGAAAATAATCGAATCGTTGGGTCAGGAAATCGATACTGAATCGAATCGCCATGATGGATGTGATTTACACCCCTAATGGCAACGCAGGATAAACTGATGCAAAAACACGCACTTATACCAAAGGACACCGTAAGGTGTTTTTCTATAAACCATCAAATTGCGCAAATTATAATTACGAAATGAATTTGCTTAACGTTACCGTTCCACTGCAATTCCAAAAAAAAAAAAAAAACACTTCGATGAGGTTTTTTTTCGATTGAATCAAAACTCTTAGTTGAAGGATGGTGGCAACCATTAGGGCTGAGATTTGGATGCATCATTTGTTTACATCCACCACGTTGAAATATAGTGGGACAAATGTATTCACATACAATTTTAACTGTATTTGTCATTTAATGGAAATTCCACGATTGTGATTTAGCAGAATATCGACCCCAAGAATACTTTCTTGCAGAAAGTCCCCAATCATAATTTAAAGTAAGGACTTGCTTGCTTCAAAGAAGCAGTGGTAACAGTGGCAACATGCAGTACTGTCAAAATTATGAAATTTTAAGGGATTTTTACATTTTTTGTGCTTAAAATACATCCTTTGTATTTAGTGGATTTTTTATTTTTATTTGGGTAAAATGTTTTAGATTTTTCCTCCCAAGATTGTCATCGTAGTTTTCTGGAAATTTGACCCATTCCTCCTGAGAGAGCAGATGTAACAGAGTCAGGTTTGTGGGCCATACTTCTTCCTCAGAGTCCTCTATTATTTAAGTGACCAAAAACAACAATTAACCATCTGGTGACTTATAAGTCATTCTTACAATACCTTGGTTTGGGTCTGTGTAGAAGAAAATTCGGTTTCTCCAGCTCTCTTTTCTTTTTCTTTTTTGCAGTCGTCTCAGGTAAACAGAGCAACATGATGCTCTGTAGAAAAAAATGCTACATTATTATATTATTCAGGCCCTTTAGTTTGCTGAAGAGGACTTAAAGCTTTCCAGGTGTGAAATTGACCCTTCATTTTGACTTTAATTAGCATTTTGTCTTGATACCAAATGGTAAAAACTTAACTCCTCCGAGAGAGCATTTAATACATATAATGTATAAATAATTTTCTATAATGCATGTAAGTATTTGTGGATCAAACTATTAAAATGTGCCAGCAGGAGGTCATTTAGAGTTACTTGGGTTTGATTAGTGGTTGAAATCGTTCACATTTCAAGAGACATCCTGTCCAAAACAAACAGATAAGGAATTTGGTGCAATAATATAGAAAAAATATTTTTTATTTCATGTTTCGAATAGTTTTTTCCTTTAAATAGATACATAGATACATAGCTGCATCACACAGCGAAAGGAGAGGAAAAATCCACACACCATAATGTGTTCTGTTTTACAACCAATTCCCTTCCACCTGAGGTACACTTTGGCCCTGTGCACATCTGGAATTAACGTGCATCCTGGGCGAGTCGATCGAAGTGAGCCCAAAATCTCTTAATTGCCCATGTGATCGTACCCAGGACACATTTTGGATTCTTTGAGTTCCAGTCATTTAGAGCATTTTCACAGGTGGTCCTTAATGCAGTGAAGGACCACCAACTCAACTGACCGCCTCCCTCTGGTTAAAAACAACTTATTTGGCACCAGGGTGGAGTATCCTCCTCTACTATTGAGCATTTATTTACATAATGTGTCAGAGGAAATAACACTTTTAAAAGGTAATAGTTTTTCTGTTTGGTTAATCTTTGATGCAGTCAGGATTGAGATGGTTCCGGGTGATAATTACTTGTACAGAGCTTTCTTTAAGGTTTCCAGGTTTAGAATTTTGTTGAATTACACCCTGCGTTTCCGTCATTCTTCAACACTTGCCTTTTTCCCTGTTTGACCTCCATACTGAAATCTGCGTGCAGTGAACAGTACACCTCAGAGCCTCCATTTACTATAGTAGAATTTTATATGTGGATTAGTCATAAGGAGATTAAATAATGATAAACTTGTGCTAATTTGATTTTCTTGCTCATTGTTCATGAAGCAGATGCCTACATGCTGCATTAGAGGGGAAATATGGGCAATATTTATAGATGTTATCAAGGTTTATGCTGAAAATCTGAGCATACAGCAGCTTAGTCATATGAATTTTATTTCTTTTTTTCTACCATAATGGCCTCCAGTAGGTTCCTTAAGCCTTTAGAAGATGAAAAGGCCCACAGCATCTCAGATCTGCACCTAATTGGAAGCAGGAGTTTTATTTCTACACATTTATAAGGACGGTTTTACTGCAATGTTAGTCTGCATTTGACGGAGTTCCAGAGTTCGAGTTAAGTTCAGAAATGTAAGTGTTTATGTTTTTGATTGACAAGCAAAACGCTCTTTCAAAGCTCTAGACCAGGGGTCTTCAACGTTTTCCAGGCCAAGGACCCCCAAACTGATGGCAAGATGGAGCGGGGACCCCCTTATTATATATACAGGTGCTGGTCATAAAATTAGAATATCATGAAAAAGTAGATTGATTTCAGTAATTCCATTTAAAAAGTGATACTTGTATATTATATTCATACATTACATACAAACTCATATATTTCAGATGTTTATTTTGTTTAATTTTGATGATTACAAATGACAACAAATGAAAATCTCAAATTCATCATATCAGAAAATTAGAATATTGTGAAAAGGTTCAAAATTGATGGCCCCTGGTGCCACACTCTAATCAGCTAATTAACTCAAACCACCTGCAAAAGCCTTTAAATGGTCTTTCAGTCTAGTTCTATAGGCTACACAATCATGGGGAAGACTGCTGACTTGACAGTTGTCCAAAAGACGACCATCGACACCTTGCACAAGGAGGGCAAGACACAAAAGGTCATCGCTAAAGAGGCTAGCTGTTCACAGAGCTCAGTGTCCAAGCACATTAATAGAGAGGCGAAGGGAAGGAAAAGATGTGGTCGAAAAAAGTGTACAAGCAAGAGAGATAACTGCACCCTGGAGAGGATTGTGAAACAAAACCCATTCAAAAATGTGGGGGAGATTCACAAAGAGTGGACTGCAGCTGGAGTGAGTGCTTCAAGAACCACCACACACAGACGTATGAAAGACATGGGTTTCTGCTGTCGCATTCCTTGTGTCAAGCCACTCTTGAACCACAGACAGCGTCAGAAGCGTCTTGCCTGGGCTAAAGAGAAACAGGACTGGACTGCTGGTGAGTGGTCCAAAGTCATGTTCTCTGATGAAAGTAAATTTTGCATTTCCTTTGGAAATCAAGGTCCCAGAGTCTGGAGGAAAAGAAGAGAGGCACTTCATCCACGTTGCTTGAAGTCCAGTGTAAAGTTTCCACAGTCAGTGATGGTTTGGGGTGCCATGTCATCTGCTGGTGTTGGTCCATTGTGTTTTCTGAGGTCCAGGGTCAACGCAGCCACATACCAGGAAGTTTTAGAGCACTTCATGCTTCCTGCAGCTGACCAACTTTTTGGAGATGCAGATTTCATTTTCCAACAGGACTTGGCACCTGCACACAGTGCCAAAGCTACCAGTACCTGGTTGAAGGACCATGGTATCCCTGTTCTTAATTGGCCAGCAAACTCTCCTGACCTTAACCCCATAGAAAATCTATGGGGTATTGTGAGGAAGAAGATGCAATACACCAGACCCAACAATTCAGAAGAGCTAAAAGCCACTATTAGAGCAACCTGGGCTATCATAACACCTGAGCAGTGCCACAGACTGATCGACTCCATGCCACGCCGCATTGCTGCAGTAATACAGGCCAAAGGAGGCCCAACTAAATACTGAGTGCTGTACATGCTCATACTTTTCATGTTCATACTTTTCAGTTGGCCAACATTTCTATAAATCCTTTGTTTTTATTGGTCTTCAGTAATATTCTAATTTTCTGATATGATGAATTTGAGATTTTCATTTGTTGTCATTTGTAATCATCAAAATTAAACAAAATAAACATCTGAAATATATGAGTTTGTATGTAATGTATGAATATAATATACAAGTTTCACTTTTTAAATGGAATTACTGAAATCAATCTACTTTTTCATGATATTCTAATTTTATGACCAGCACCTGTATGTTGTATGAATTGTACGATTCTGATTCCTGGTTGATGGGACAGGTGTTGTGAATGAAACGGTGCCCAGATTAAAAGAGCTCCCGTGTATCGCTGAATGTGTGCATTGATGCCTGAAAGACATCTTCTGCCTCCATATATCTGTTTACTACAGTGTGTTGAATTCACAATAATGTGGATTTAAAACATTTCAGTTAGTGGAAAAAAGGGCAGGGGGAATATTTTAAAAAAAGTCTTTCGCGACCCCCATGCAGTACCTCCGTGGACCTCCTAAGGCTCACGGACCCCTTGTTGAAGACCTCTGCTCTAGACAAAGATTATAAGATGCTCGCCGGTTTTTGGTCCCTTTTTAAAACTGCAGACTCGCAAAGTATTTTACCTCCCATCCTTCCCACGCTGCATGTTAGCAGAACAAACTTAGATCTGTGTTAAGACCCATTTTTACAAGCTGTTTCACCTAATCATTACATCTCTGACTGCAGACAGGAGCAGGTTTAGATGTTTTCTAGAGTTTTGATTATTAGTAGACGTCTGTCTTGGATTTATGTTCTTTAGTGTCTCTGCTTTAAAATGGTGGCTAAGAGAAATGGGTACATTTAGAGTCATATAAGGAGCCCATATTTTTTGATACCAACATTTAGATCATGAACTGCCTTTGTCACCTGGAGATTTTTCACGTTTCTTGCCAGCTTGTTACCAGTCAGGGTCAAGCTGAAAATCGTTTTTTTTTTTTCTATTAGCAACTCTCATGTTTAAACAGTTGGATAGATGAACGTGGTGAGAAAACAGGTTTTGATCAGATCTCTATCTTCCCATCCCTGTTCTCTGCAGGATTCTCTGCGACAGAAGGAGGAGCGCATTGAGGAGCTGGAGGAGGCACTGAGGGAAAGTGTTCAGATCACAGCAGAGCGGGAGGTGGTGTTGGCCCAGGAGGAGCACGCACGCTCACATGCTGAGAAGCAGGTAAAGTGTGTGCGGTGGACTCCCGCTGTGATGCACGAGTTGGTTTCCCCTGAATGGTAAATCTGTGAACCAAGCTCTATCCTAAACTTTTCCTAAACTCAGTCCATGTTTTATCAGACTGTGCTTAGTTCACCTAAAACAGACTAGTTGAAGCAAAAAATTCTCTAACATCTACATATCCTCCCCACTAAAAACGGGAGCAGCAACCAGCACGCCCACTCCCGGCGGAGCCCCTTCAGGTGCGGCTCTGTGTTTGCCCAGTCACTCTTCATTTAGAGCAGAAGTAAACACATTCCTATTTTAAGAACAGCTACATTTTGTCCCTCTATACAGTCAACACACAACCAGCCATGATTTTAAATGGACTGTGCACCAACCGCTTTAAGTCGTATTGCAGTTCATCTAAATGGAGACAGTGGGAGAGCTCACGGCGGTGGTAAATGGAGGCTCAGAAGGGAACGGTTCGGCGGATGCAACCTCAGACCGCGAGGAGTGTGTTTGTGTGTTTCGCTCCCCGGAGCGGCGGTGACTTAACGAGGCCATAGAGATGGGAAACGTTCCCCACTGCCACGATGGGTTTTGACAAGTGGAGGGGGCTGGAATGCAGTGTGGGCTGAGGACTAAAGCTGCACTGAGAAAACACGGCCTGCTGTAGATGTTGGCAAAACGGCTGGACTCTTGTTATTACTGCCTCTAAACGTCTGCTCCGGCCTTTACTTACTGGCCGGCTTCTGAAGAGACGTGTAAAGGCAGGCATGAAAACAGATGTTTTACTCCTGAGGTATGCTTCCTCACGTCCTCCTCCGAGGAGGGTGCTAACGAGCCGCACGGCAGAAGACGCTTCGCACAGACAGACGGTGTAGAGGAAGGACAGATAATTAAAGGCCCGGTGGACAGAGTAAGGCAGTCACACGGATGTGTGAAGGTGAAATACAGCTTACAAAACATTTTCGTCTGCTGGAAGAAGAAAAAAAGATCAAACATGCCGTTTCAAATTCCAGTCAAGTTTCAGAGACATCAAACACAAGAAAATCAGTTTAAAGTGATGCAGCTGACAGGTTAGATTGCCCTCATGATGTAATGATGCAACGAAAAAGAAACCGTTTTGATGAGCGCATTTGACAGGAACAATAACACAGACTGTACGTAGATTTCATATTGCAGGGGGAAATGAGAAGGATTCAAATGTTATGTTTTATAACTGAGGACGTATCCTTTAAATACCATCCTCAGCTAAATTGCCTGGAAAAACTCTTAACGGCTCTCCTCTGTTTTTCATTTTGCATGTTGATGTTTTGCATCAACAAAGAAATGGTCAAATTAGGGCCTTTCTGCCATTTACCCAAAAATATTTTAGCTATGCAGAGAGAAAGGCGAGAAACGAAAGACAGGTTTATTTATTTAACACAGTTGAGAACAAAGACAATTCAAAGTGCTTTACACAAATTAAACAATAGAATATAAGGAAGATATAAGTAAGTAAAGATAAAAGCAGATAGTAAACAAAGTAGAATAGTTGGACCACAAACTTGGTGGCCTAGTGGTTAGGGCATAGAGCTTGAAATCCTGAGGTTCTGAGTTTAAGCCCCACTCCCACAGACTGCCACTCTGGGTCCCTGAGCAAAGACCCTTAACCCCTAATGCTTGCCGGGCGTCCCACGATGGCAGCCACTGCTCCCCAAGGGGATGGGTTAAACGCAGAGGTAAATTTCTCCAATGTGAAATCAATAAAGTTCATTTATAACTATTATCAATCTAGAGCAGGAGTGGGCAACTCCAGTCCTGGAGGGCCTGTGTCCATCAACTTTTAGATACACTGCAAAAACAATCCAGAAATAAGTAAAAAATGGCTTAAATTAAGTATATTTAGCCTTAATTTGAGCAGGTAAATAAGATGATTTGCCAATGGAATGAGTATTTTCACTCTTAAAATAAGATAGTTAGATAATATTTACTTGAAATAAGACGATAAAATAGTTTTTTCTTATTTTAAAAGGAAATTGTCTTGTTCCATTGGCAAAGTGTCTTACTTATCTCCTCAAATCAAGGAAAAACACACTTATTTTAAGAAAAAATAACTTATTGAGATTTATATTTTTTGCAGTGTATGTCCTTGACTTAACTACCTGAATCAAGTAAATAGATAATTAAAAAGACTCTGGAGAAATTGATTGCATACTGGGGAGGTAATTCAACCATTTGATTCAGGTATGATGGACCAAGGATGAATCTAAGGCTATGTTCAAATGCTACCTGAAGAGACCCAAATCCATTTTTTTTTTTTTTGCCCACATGCAACCTGGATCTGATCTTCTCATGGCAGTCTGAACAACACAACCTTTTTTTCCAATGCAACCCAGGCCACTTGGCTATGTGGTCCTGGATTCGATACGAATCTGGTCTTTTGAGATGCGACCTGTGTCCGACCTGTTTTGAAAAGATTGAGGTTTTAAGGTCTAGAAAGTTCACTAGATGCGCTCCGGCACTACCATCCATGTTTACTTCTGTAAACATGAAGCATGCTGGCTTGTGACGTCATTGCTTCCTCTACTGCGCATGTTGGAAACTTAAGCTGAAAGAATGCAGTTTACACAGGAGATCACATACATGTCGCATATATTTGGAAATGTGAACGGCAAGGCAAAAAAATCAGATTTAAAAAAAAAAATCGGAATTGAGCATCAAGGCCTGCAGTGTGAACATAGCCTAAATGTTTCAGGAAACCGGCCCTCAAGGACTGGAGTTGCCCACCCCTGATCTAGACTGATTAGAGAAACATGAAATTTTTTTCATGCAGAAACTAATTCAGGTTTTAATAGGTTGTGTAATTTTAGGGGGGACGTCCTTCCGTCAGTATGTGACCTTAACCTGAAGCAGACTGATAGGGAAGGGATCTAGTTTGCATGTCATCTTGGACTCTTTGTTGTCATCTACTTGAATAAGTGAAGAATTTGAACAGGTTGTTTAAAAACAACAGGTTTCTAAAATAAAAACAAAAGGTTTTATTTATTTTTCCCTCTGAAAGTAACTGTTTTAACTTTATATTGGTTGGGAAACGTTGAAAGGAATCAAAAAGCTGCAAGTGCAACTTTAATTAGGGAGAGCGGAGGCCATTAAGGGTGGAGTGGGGCCCGGTCTCAAAATGCTCCAAAGAGGAAAGGACAGGGATGTCAGTTTGTGGTGAATGAGTGGAGATGTCAGCCAAACACCCATTGCAGTCCTCTCCCAACATCAACAACTCTAACTCAACCTTTCAGCAAGCGTACACATGTGTGTTATGTGGCGCTAGCAGGCAGGACAGAGGACACATTTTTTTCAAACACAAACAGACAAATATGGCGGAATGAAGGGCAATCCGATGTTTAAACCGAGCTCTGACCATTTAAAATCGCACATTTAGCAGAAACCAAATGGAAACCAGCTTTGGATTTCGACCTGGAAATGCGTCTTTGTGGGCGCAAGTAAATCATAAATAAATATTTTTGAGTTTCTTTTCATGCAGCTGCGTCAGGGCAATTAACCTTTAACATAATTATTTATAAAAAGATGACGGGAGAAGAAGATTTCCTCCCGTAATGAGGCCGGCCGGTTCAAAGGCTCCCACATGCAAATGCTGCCAAACTAGACCCACTTATAAACACTCTGACTCAATACTGGTACGCAGACGGCTTTTATATTCAACCATACTGTCAACAAGTGTGTGTGTGTGGGGCGGGAGGGGGGGCTGCCTTATGAATCTGATTTGCCTGTCAAAACCGTTTTTACCAGAACCACATGAAAACAAACCAAACCTTTGCAGCTAGACATGAGTCACTACTGTATGTGTGATCTGCACAGAAAGGTGCGCATGTGTGTGACGCAGCAGTGAGCCGGCAGCGGGACGCACTCCATCTGTCTCAAACTGGAGACAGACGTGCCCCTCCTTTGCATCCCGGTTTCTATTAAGGGAGAATTTTTATTCTTGAACTCGCTGCTCTTTCTCTTGTGGTTCATCTTGTTTTGATCTTTAAATAAACCTGAAATCCTTCCTAAACAGAAACCTCCAAATGGAGCCTGCTGTTTCTATAATGTTCAGTCTGCAGGTTCACAGAGCTGCATCCATACAATACGATCATAGTAAACCTCAGTATTTCTGTTTAACTAAAAATATATATTTGATTTTGGGGCAGTTTGAAACCCTAACATCAGAAATATTTCCAAACGAAGCGTCTTCTTTCCAGTTCCTCACTTCCCCTGCTTGGCCCTGTCCTCCACCCCTCTCTCACTGAGACATGCTTATTGTTCAGTGTCACCTTTTCCATCCTTTTTTTTATAAATTACTTGATTAAGTGCTGCTTATATTTCTCACTGCTTTGTATTTTGCAGTCTACTGTGTAATCGGTATTTATCCCTCATCATCTCTTATATCTCGTCTTCTCCGGTCTTAAACAGCCTCCCTGTCCTTATATATTTTTCCTTCATACCTTTTGATTTCTCTTTACTTTACTCTGCATCCTGAGGCCCCTTTTTTAATTACTCTCCCCTTCCTTAAACTCGTCTCCCCTCACTGCAATCACTCCTTCTTCTCACGTCTCTCTTTTTTCTGTCATTTGTATGCAGCTGTCTCACATTCCAATTCATGAGTTCACCACAAGCGGATTTAGATGGTCGAAGGTAACCAAGAATCCTCAAATACCATTTATTTATATTTCCCCTGTTATCAGATGGTTATTTCGTTTTTTTTTTTTATTCCATTCTTTCATTTATCTATCTGCGAAAGTTGTTTTTAATGAACAGCCGGATGGGGAATTCTTTCTTTTTTTCCCTTCCACTGGTTGTCTCGTCGGCTCAAACGATTTTAGTTTGAGAACTTTGCATCAATCAGACTATGAAGAAAATATCCCTTTGTTTTTGGTCTTGTTTTTTTTTTTCTAATTTCTGTTTCACATTTCTCTGACGTCTTACATCAGACCCCTCTGTTTTGTATTATTGTATGACAGTATTTATAAGCTATCTGTGGACAAAATGTAGGTCGCTCTCCTCTCTGAAGGCAATGGAATGGCTAACAAGAAAAAAATGTTTGGATAAAAATCCCAAAGTGTGTCTGTCCATATAAATATTAATATATGACACATACACTATATTGCCAAAAGTATTTGCTCACCTGCCTTGACTCACATATGAGCTTAAGTGACATCCCGTTCCTAATCCATAGGGTTCAATATGACGTCGGTCCACCCTTTGCAGCTAGAACAGCTTCAACTCTTCTGGGAAGGCTGTCCACAAGGTTTAGGAGTGTGTTTATGGGAATTTTTGACCATTCTTCCAGAAGCGCATTTGTGAGGTCGCACACTGATGTTGGACGAGAAGGCCTGGCTCTCAGTCTCCGCTCTAATTCATCCCAAAGGTGTTCTATCGGGTTGAGGTCAGGACTCTGTGCAGGCCAGTCAAGTTCATCCACACCAGACTCTGTCATCCATGTCTTTATGGACCTTGCTTTGTGCACTGGTGCACAGTCATGTTGGAAGAGGAAGGGGCCAGCTCCAAACTGTTCCCACAAAGTTGGGAGCATGGAATTGTCCAAAATGTCTTGGTATGCTGAAGCATTCAGAGTTCCTTTCACTGGAACTAAGGGGCCAAGCCCAGCTCCTGAAAAACAACCTCACACCATAATCCCCCCTCCACCAAACTTTACACTTGGCACAATGCAGTCAGACAAGTACCGTTCTCCTGGCAACCGCCAAACCCAGACCCGTCCATCAGATTGCCAGATGGAGAAGCGCGATTCGTCACTCCAGAGAACGCGTCTCCACTGCTCTAGAGTCCAGTGGCGGCGTGCTTTACACCACCGCATCCGACGCTTTGCATTGCACTTGGTGATGTATGGCTTGGATGCAGCTGCTCGACCATGGAAACCCATTCCATGAAGCTCTCTGCGCACTGTTCTTGAGCTAATCTGAAGGCCACATGAAGTTTGGAGGTCTGTAGTGATTGACTCTGCAGAAAGTTGGCGACCTCTTCGCACTATGCGCGTCAGCATCCGCTGACCCCGCTCCGTCAGTTTACGTGGCCTACCACTTCGTGGCTGAGTTGCTGTCGTTCCCAAACACTTCCATTTTCTTATAATACAGCTGACAGTTGACTGTGGAATATTTAGGAGCGAGGAAATTTCACGACTGGATTTGTTGCACAGGTGGCATCCTATCACAGTTCCACGCTGGAATTCACTGAGCTCCTGAGAGCGACCCATTCTTTCACAAATGTTTGTAAAAACAGTCTGCATGCCTAGGTGCTTGAATTTATACACCTGTGGCCATGGAAGTGATTGGAACACCTGATTCCAATAATTTGGATGGGTGAGCAAATACTTTTGGCAATATAGTGTACATATTGGAACTTGGTGTCAGATATGGAAAAAAATAAGTAATAAAAAAAAAAAACAACAAAATTAATTAATTATTTAAATTCTAGATATGTAAAATGTTGGAATATGTCTTTCTTTTAGTTTATCTGCCTAATCCTCACTCATTCCAGTCATTAATAGACATTTTTTTATGTATATTTCTGTGTTTAATGGCTGATCCTGATGTTGCAAACGTCTGCAGAATTTTGCCCTTTTCTAAATTGTAGTAAAGTCAGTAAATTAAGGGAAACATTTCAGTGAAACGTTTACATAAACCCCTGATGGATATGGCTATCGTTGACTTTAGGGCTTTTAAAATGAACCAGGGTGGAATAAAGTCGCTATAAAATTGTGATTTTCTTGCAAATATGATTAATTGTGCAGCCTTAAGTGAAAAAAAGCAGTTTTCCATTCGGTGAGTCTGACTCGATCCAGATTTGCTGCTGAACATCCAAAGCAATCGCCTTTCATCTAACGGTGTTTTTTGGTTTAGATTCGATGCTTCCAAATAGGATTTTCATGTGGATTTGCTTGAACTTCCGATCTGGTTTAGAAACGGCTCTAAATAATTTCTTGCAAAGCGATATTAGATTGATTAGATAGATAGAATATTCTTTAGATCTTCAAAGAGGTTTCCTGCTTTGTTCTGACTTTTGGTTTCAAACAGAACCTTTGTACGCTTGCCAAGAGAAACTCGAGGCTGCAGTCAATCAAAGACAATCACAAGAAGTTGCGAAGGCATTTTGTAACCTTAAAGCTACAGTGTGTAATTTTCAGCGACATCTAGCGGTCAGACTGCAGACCGCAGCAACATGAACATCTCCCCCCCCACCGCTTCTCCCCCCCAACAGTACGGCGAGCGTTACGGGACAAAATTTCTTCCACGACGTCCGCATCACCTACCCTCTCAAGTGATGAGGTTTGTTTACATAGATAATTTTACAGATAGTATTTCATTAGTCTGAGTAGGGTATAGATTTCATGTAGACTTAAGATAATAAATATACCCGTTATTTTTTCTACATCGTTGTGACGTTTTGGTGAGCTGCTTTGCATGGTGATATAAACAGACTACTAATTGTAGTCATTAGTTTAACAGCGAGATTGTGTTCGCTGGAAGAATATATATTCCCCGTTTACAGAGTCCAAGTCATTTTGGTGGCACGGGGGTTACAACGCGAGGAAGAGGGAGAGGACGAGGGCGAAGGCAGGGAGGCCGTGCAGCTAGGGCCAGGCGAGAGAGGGGTGCCAGCGGGGTGAGAGCAGAGGAGGAAACGCTTGAAGATCTCCAAAGGAGCCGGAGAGAAGTAACCGAGGTATATATCCAGAAAATTATTTTACAGAAAATTACTGAATCATTACCTGTGAAACGTCAGGGACGTTGCTGAATAAGTATACTGGAGAGGAACAGCATCATCACGCCGCAGCATGTTATTGTTTTAGACAGGTCTGAGCATCCTGTACTCCAAAAACTGCAGTGATATTAGACAATTGTGTGTGTAGGATTAATTACCTGTCCAAGAGAAAACTGGCAACTTGAGCGTCACTTTGAAAACCTTTTTCCTCCATCAGTGACTTCCATCGTGTAAATGCCGTGCCAATGTTGATCCGTGTTTTTTGTCGTTTCTTGTCACGCTTGCGTTTATTCTCGTCGTGTTTCCGCTTCTTAGATGACGGGGGTTCGGTGTCCGCCGCTTTTCGTTGTGATACAGAGTAGGCATGATCCTCCATTCGTCTGATGTTTGGCCACACAGTGCCAAACAGTTTGCAAAGTCACTCACGCCTGCCGCCTTTGTTCACCTTTCTTGTTACTGATGCGCAGTATACCTGCTTCTTCTTCTTCTTTGGTTTCAGGCAGACTAAACGCTTCCCAGGCATAATACTGCCATCTACTGTTCAGTACCGTCTCAGTTCATCTCTCTCAACTTGCCGTAGTTATTTTTGAGCGTCATGGGAGATCTCGCAATCGCTAGTTTGTTGCCTCTGCGCTGCCGTAGCGCAAAGATGTCAGCCTCCATGGCTGCGAGACCCGCTCCTATGTAATTATAAATAACGAATTCTAAGGCAGCGCAAATATTATGGTTAAAAGGCTGAGCTCATAGGTGATGATAAATAACATAGTTATGTATAATATATTAAATTTCTGACTTTATATGCCTGTAATTATTACACACTGTAGCTTTAAGTACCACTGTATGTTTGCGCCTGAACGAGTAGGAGAAAACCCACTAATTCTAACATTCATTAAGTTCTTTATGGTGTTGTAAATGTACTTTAAATATTAAGATCTCCAAAAAAATCTTCGGTTTATGTTCTAATTAAATGTTAATGCTAATTAGTTCGTAATCCCTACCATTTTAAGTTGTTAATAGATGGTTCAGAATTGTAGCTAAGGTCACTTTTTTGGTTTATTTTGTTTGAAATAAATCTTTTTTTGAATGCAGAATCTGACTTTTCCTTTGAAAACCTTACTTTTTTTAATTGTTCACCTTTTCTGTTGGATGGTTTTCTTTCCCTTCTCTCTGCTTTTTCCTTTCTTTGGATCTTAGCCGAGTCGTTGTCTGGCCTTAAGAAATACAGACTGACCTCACACGCATTAAACTGACACGGTGATATACAGCCAGTGAAAGGAACAGGCTGAGATGAAATATGTATTAGAAAAGTGAGGGAGAAAGAGAAACAACTTGGAGATTATAAAAAGGCAAAATGGGGAGTAGGAAAATGAGCTGCTTGATGTTCTGCCGTGGAGCGAGTTTAACAAAAACAGATAAATTAAAGCTACAGTGTGTAATAATTACAGGCATATAAATTCAGAAATTTAATATATTATACATAACTATGTTATTTATCATCACCTATGAGCTCAGCCTTTTAACCATAACATTTGCGTTGCCTTAGAATTCGTTATTTATAATTACATAGGAGCGGGTCTCGCAGCCATGGAGGCTGACATCTTTGCGCTACGGCAGCGCAGAGGCAACAAACTAGCGATTGCGAGATCTCCCATGACGCTCGAAAATAACTACGGCAAGTTGAGAGAGATGAACTGAGACGGTACTGAACAGTAGATGGCAGTATTATGCCTGAGAAGCGTTTAGTCTGCCTGAAACCAAAGAAGAAGAAGAAGCAAGTATACTGCGCCTCGGTAACAAGAAAGGTAAACAAGGCGGCAGGCGTGAGTGACTTTGCAAACTGTTTGACACTGTGTGGCCAAACATCAGACGAATGGAGGATCATGCCTACTCTGTATCACAACGAAAAGCGGCGGACACCGAACCCCCGTCATCTAAGAAGCGGAAACACGACGAGAATAAACGCAAGAGTGACAAGAAACGACAAAAAACACGGATCAACATTGGCACGGCATTTACACGATGGAAGTCACTGATGGAGGAAAAAGGTTTTCAAAGTGACGCTCAAGTTGCCAGTTTTCTCTTGGACAGGTAATTAATCCTATACACACAATTGTCTTATATCACTGCAGTTTTTGGAGTACAGGATGCTCAGACCTGTCTAAAACAATAACATGCTGCGTGATGATGCTGTTACTCTCCAGTATACTTATTCAGCAACGTCCCTGACGTTTCACAGGTAATGATTCAGTAATTTTCTGTAAAATAATTTTCTGGATATATACCTCGGTTACTTCTCTCCGGCTCCTTTGGAGATCTTCAAGCCTTTCCTCCTCTGCTCTCACCCCGCTGGCTCCCCTCTCTCGCCTGGCCCTAGCTGCACGCTCACCCCGGCCTCTCTGCCCTCTTCCTTTCCCTCTTCCTTGCCTTGTAACCCCCGTGCCACAAACAAGACTTGGACTCTGTAAACGGGGAATATATATTCTTCCAGCGAACACAATCTCGCTGTTAAACTAATGACTACAATTACTTCGTCTGTTTATATCACCATGCAAAGCAGCTCACCAAAATGTCACGACGACGTAGAAAAAATAACGGGTATATTTATTATCTTAAGTCTACATGAAATCTATACCCTACACAGACTAATGAAATACTATCTGTAAAATTATCTATGTAAACAAACCTCATCACTTGAGAAGGTAGGTGATGCGGACGTCGTGGAAGACATTTTGTCCCGTAACGCTCGCCGTACTGTTGGGGGGGAGAAGCGGTGGGGGGGAGACGTTCATGTTGCTGCAGTCTGCAGTCTGACCGCTAGATGTCGCTGAAAATTACACACTGTAGCTTTAAGTAAACCCTTCAAACTATAGAGGATCTTTAGGAAGAAAATGTTAAATATATGTTTATGCTCCTGGGTCAGGTGGAGGACCTACTGGTTGCCATGGAAAAGGTGAAACAGGAACTGGAGGTGATGAAAGCCAAGCTGTCGTCGACCCAGCTCTCATTGGCTGAGAAGGAAGGCCATCTGACTGCCCTGCGAGCCGAGAGGCGGAAGCACCTGGAGGAGGTCCTTGAGATGAAGTAAGAATATAAAAAAATGCTCATCTCTCATGTTTTAGTGTTTTTCTTTACAGTAATGTATATTTCAGCTGTTCTTTAGGTGTTTTTACATGTTTTATCCGTCCAACTATAAGGTAGTGAGCCAATACAGATATTTCTGCTCAAGCACACACATTCGAAACATGTACCAATAAAGGAAGTCAAAGGTTACACAAAAAATCCCATTTTTGATTTTCACCATTCTCTAATCTGTTTAGGCTTTTCTTAAGAAAAGTTCTTATTCAGGTTCATTTAGTTGCTGTGGTTTCATTTTTTTCCAATATAATAAATACTTTAGGACTTATAAAAATCATTTTAGTATTAGATGATTGTTCTCAGGATGTGGCTTCTGTTTTCATTCTTGTGTCTTTCCTTCAGGAAGTTGGCTTGCTCTGTAATGGTCATTTTAACGACTAGAAATCCACTGCAAACAAAGATGCTATTACTTTTTAATGCCATCTTTCAGGCTTTATGGGCTGAGCATTTTGTACCGTGGTGTATTAAATTTAATAGCTATCAGCCACATAAATGCTAGGGTGTACGGTTCTCATGGGGTCAATAAATAGCCTGTTTCTCAAAGACACCAAGCTTTGGTTGGAAAAAAGCTTTGACATCACTGAGCAGAACATATAGAGATGTATGCATCTGGCGTTAAATAGTATAACCGGGTTTTGGAAGACAAAAAAACTCTATGGTTTGTCAAATGTGGGGGGAAAAAAGCAGTGGTAACAACTTAAAGATCCATTACTCGTATTTGAAAGAAAGAAGAATAAAGTATTTAGATCAGTAATGAATCCCCTGAGTTCGGAGTTTACATTTTGATCTCTGCTGCACTTTATAAATGGAAATGTTCATTTCACTGTTGTAACCTGCTCATTCACTGTTGAAAAGCTGTATGCATCGAAATTTTGTTTTGTATATACTCTGTGTATACAAAATGTTCTAATTCTTTATAAATGATTTGACTTTATAAATTCTTTATAAATTGAAATAAAAAGCACTGACACAGCCTGACTGTTACCATGTTTCTGCGCCGCCACCTCCTTTACCGAAGCGTCAACTTTTACCCATCATAACAACTGACCGTTTAAAGTAACTTTCTTAATTTAAGGAAAATATAAAATATATGATTCATCAAACACACTTAATAAATCTGAGCTTCACTGAACATTGAGATTAGGCTTTTAACCAAGCTTAAAATTCATTAAAGCATTGTCGCTTTTTTAACTCAATAAAGTTTACAATATATTAATGTTCAAAAACAAATAAATAACATAAAACATAAATAAATAACATAAAAACATTGTCATTAGTCCTTATTGTCTTTGTAGAAACCATACTTCTTATACTATCACCTTAAGCCCCTGTCACACCCTGACGATTTGCCTGACGTACATAAAATCTGGCAAAAACACTGGCAAACGTTGGATAAGTTATAGGTACGTTTTGTATAAGTTATGAATATGTTGAAGCCCACTGGAACACGTCGACATATGGTGAGTACATGGGGCATAAGTTACAGGTAAGTCATCTGATCATTAAAATACGTTAAGTGTAGGTTACTCATAGGTCGTGGTGTTTAGCTTATCTAAAACCTATGAGTAACTTGTGAATAACTTATCGAGAAATTGTCTCCAATGCATATCAACATATTTGAAGTGTTCCAGAGGACCGCTGAACGTGTTTCTAATGTACAGCTACAGTATAATGGCATATTGGCAGCGTTTTGCTATAAAAGGGGTCTCACAGGAGGAAACGGTCAATAATCCTCCAGACTTCATCCCCATCATAGGGTTCGCGTGAAGGTGAGTATGTTGAATCCTCCCTGCGTTCACGCCCATGGCCGCGACCAACAAACTTCCTAGCAGACATGATGCTGAATCTGCTGCAACTGCAAACCTTCTTCTTCTATTTTCTTTATTCTTTTTTTTGGGCAGGTGGTAAAAAGCAGCCAGGTTAACACAGCAATCAAATAAGTCTTTTCATGCAGGCTGGGCATAAGTTCTGGACTCGTTATGAATACGCTATGCATACGCCCAAAATTGAAAAAATACATAGAAACTTCAGCGTATGCCAGCGTTTCAGGAGCTTATGGGTAGTCGGGCATATGCTGGCTGGATCATCAAAGTGTGACAGGGCCCTTATATGGTGCCACAGTTGTAAAGAAATGCATGTACACATGGAAAACTTGCCAATTGCTGACGTCATATTCCAAACAATTTATCCTGCTACCGGCTCTTGTTTGGACTGTAGAAACGAAGCTCTTTAGCTATATAGCGATATATAAGCAGAGGCCACCATGGAGGAGGAATGTTACCATGACAGCAGCCGGGCATTTCCTCGCGTGCTTTCAGCGGTTTGGTCACACGCTGCTGTGGGATGAAGTCCCATTCTTCAACCAGCATTGCCATTAGTTGTGGTTCTGTTGGTCCCTCTGTGTTCCTTCCATGGATAGTCTCAGATAAACCCCACTCTGTTGATTCGTTTTCCTTACAAATGTGGCTCCAGTTATAGGAAAACAACCAGGCTTTCCTGCGGCACAGGATTATTTGCCCACAAAGTTTTGTCACAAATAAAGATGTATTTTAGTCATTTAGATTGTTTTAATTGTTTGTAAACTGACTAAATGAAGTACAGACTTTCTTTGCAGTGTTAAGACAAATGTTGTCCTGCTGTATCATCTCTAGAATCCTCATCTGATATTAAATTCAGAATGTGTGTTTTCTTCCACATTTCTGTCCTATCTGACGCTGTGAGCAGGAGCTACAGTACAACATATCCAATCAGCCTCTTTAAAAAAAAAATAATAATTTTCTGCGCTCAGCTCATTTAACTCGCCATCGTTAAGTCCTTGATCTCTTGCTATCTGCAGTAGTTTCTCCATGTAGCTTCAATGATCCAGGAAGATGGTGATTGGACCCAATGACACGATCCTCACCAGACACCTCATTAACTCTCCTCTCATTTCTTCTCCTCTCTTCATCGTCCTTCTCCTTCACTCTGCACTTTAAAGCTGCTGAGATGATGCTAATGCAGCGACCGTGTCCCACTGTCCGACTCTTCGCATGATTGATTACATATGCAGACACCAGGCTGTGCGCCCGTGTTCGTTTTAATGTTGTTTTAATAGATGGGTTTGTGTTTTAAGTGCTGCTGAGATGAGTCAAGCAGTCATGTATTTTCTTCAAATTTACATCCTCTCCGAGCCTCACTGACATCTGATTTAGTGGAACAACACTTTGGGATGAAATTGAAGCCATGGAGAATATCCATGTTAGGCATGTCCTTCCTCTTAAAGCGGGCTATGAGACAATGTTTTATTATGACCAAATGGGAAATAAACCCTGTGATTTTACTCCCCTGCACTGTGACCTCTACGTTTTCCTTTAGGATTGTATTTCTTTGTTTTTGTGTGAAAGTGTTACAGGTTGATTACGATGTTTATCTGATTTGATTTTATTATGATTTTATTTTCCGTCTCTTGTTCCCTCTAAGTGGACGAGGTTAGGTTTTTTTTCCTGCAGTGGGTCAAAACTCAAATATTTCACTCTAAACTCTCATATTGTCTCATTTGCCTTTAAATATTTATGCTCCTGCAGAAGAAGTTGGAAAAAGAATCAATACTCGGATACTTAACACCCTCTGCCTCCTTGTTTTCCTTTAACAGTAGCCTAGTCCTGATAAAGTAAGGGTAACTCAAAAGGATTTATCTTTTTAGCTTTATTAGCTCTCTGCAAGTTCTTATCAGCCTTTTCTTTTAATAGTTTTGGAGGACAAGATGCCAGAATGAAATGATTCACCCACGCTGCCTTCCGAGGCGTTTAACACTGTAGCATACATCATTTAATCAACACAGCAGAGCCCCTGAACTGCACATGTGCACAGCTGCTACAGACTAACGTAAGTGCATCTCAAACAGCAGTGACCCATTAATAACGTTACATAATCTCATGCTTTGCTATGCAGGCTGTTCGTTCACCTTGAGATCCTGTAGCATTTAAACTAGAACTGAACCCGTCGAGGCTTCCTTTACTTATTGATCATTTTCCGTAAACTCATGGAGCATTGAAATGTTCTTATAATGTCCAGACATTTTATGTACATTTAACAAAAAATGAAACTGCTGCTTTAAAAGATAAATTAAACCTTTTGTAAAATCTTAATCAGCCATGCTCATAAATACAGAGCGTGCTGCATGTGTAATAAGGCACTTTATTGGTAGAAATTATGTTCAGGAATAAAACAGTTCATCACCAACATTATGGAGGCTGCAAAAAATATGCAAAAAAAGGTGCTCTAGGTCCACCTTCAAGTAAAGAAACAGGATGCTGCACATCTGCCAGCAGCATTTATCTAAACAGGATAACTGGTAATAACTGCTGTTCACCTCTCTTTATGGAGTCCATTTAGTTGCTCATATATGCAGAGTTAAGTTAATATCAGACTATAAAAGTCAAACACACTGGTGCAGTGTTTCCTCCATGTTATTATTGATGCTCAGTGAGCACAGATATATGTATAATTTAGTGCCTCATCCTGATTTATGTCTGCTCCATAGAGAGTTAACCTGTTTAGTATGCATGTGGCAAAACCAACTCAGTTCTTCAATTTTCAAACATAAAACCCTGGAGCTCTAGAGATGTTTTGTTTTTATGTAATATTTTAATACAATTTGAAATTTTATATATATATATATATATATATATATATATATATATATATATATATATATATTTCAGATATTAAAACATACATTTAGTCTGATTGGTTAATTTAAGTTAAGAGGCAAATCTGTCCTTGGATTTTAAGTAAACGTTGCTTCCCTCTTTATCATCGTAGAAAAATATGGCAAGATTTCAGTAGTAGTTTGACCCCAAATCATAGAAAAAAAAAATTTGTTAACTTCGGAAGTTGTAACAGTCTTTTTTTTTCAGTATTTGGTATAATTTGTGTAAAAAATAAAAATCAACCAAAAAGATTGT